AAAATTAATTTTACATAAATTTTTTTTGTAATTTTTAAAAATCAAATAAAAAATTATTTTAATTAAAAATTAATTTAAAGATATTTTAGTTTAAAAACTTTTGTTCAAAATTTAACTATTTTTTTTAAATTTATAAAGTAGCTCAAAGAGGTTTTTAATTTAAAAACTAATTCAAAGACTTGTATAATAATTTATTAATATAATAATTTTAAAACTAACTTAAAGTTATCATAATAGTTTAAAATCTAACTCAAAATTCCATTATAATAATAATTAAAGGGTCAAATTAAGAGTTTAACCATAAGTACTTTAGAAAATAAAAAAAAATAAACAGCCAACCAATTGCTTAGCTTCCCAAACATACAAGCCATTCATTAACATTTCTGAAATATTCTTTTCGCATTAAAAACATTCCCCTTTTTTTTTTGGGTGGGGTTATTGCCACAGCCACTAATGTTAATGCCACAGCTTTTTCAGTTATTTGACCATAAACCCACGCGGGAGAAAGTGGTGGCGGCTGCAAGTTAAATTCAAATGAGGGGTATAATAGTCTAATAACTAAAAAAAGCTGTGGCATTAACATTAATGGCTGTGGCAATAACCCCACCCTTTTTTTTTACCAAATTTACAAGCCTAAAACTATAAACAGTATGTCACTCTGTCAAAACGAAACGGTCTAACCCCGAAACGTTTCTACAAAGCCGGAAGCGTTTCGGTCCGCCACGCGAACTCCGAAACCTCTGCCGGTTCACAGCTATCGTTGTGATCAAACAGACCACCTAAAGCCACGAAATCACCGCCGTTATTACCGTTACTACCCGAGTCACCGAGGATTCCCAACTCAAACGAGTCATAACTCAGTATCTCCTCCTCGAACCCTAACATCTCTCCAAGCACAACGGCTCCTCCTTCACTTGCTTCCAAATCAAAAGCCTCGGCTTTCGGCTCATCCGCAACAGGAAAACTCGGCGGCAGACCTAGCTCATCGTCGGAAGCTTCAAGAAGGAACCCGAGGTCAGACCTAGACTCGCCGGAATCCAACGCCACCACCGGCACCTGCGTGGGCACAGAAATCTCCTCTTCAAAGCTCTTAATGACCGAGTCAAGCCCCTGAATACCCGGGTCGCACTCGTTAACCGGGTCCGAGTCATCCAGAATATTCAGCAAATCATCTTGGAAAAGCTTCACCTCAGGCGAGGGCACGTCTAACTCCTCCGAGTCAGGTTCAACAGAGTCCGACTCAGCCGAGTCCAGCCTGGCGAGTTTAGACACGGGAGACCCCGTGTCTAACTCACCCCGGACTCTCTTCCTGTCGTTCTCTTCTTTGTATTCCTCCATTTCCAATCTTCAAAAATATCCAAAATGTCTTCAGTTTCACAGAAATAAGAAACTAATCCCAGGATTATGCTCCTCAGATGAACAAAAAGAGACAACCTTAAACAGTCTTAAACTCGTATCTCAAAGAGAGATTAGGACTGAGAAGTGGGTTGGGTGAAGAGAGAGAAAAAGATAAAGAGAATTTTATAACGGACAAAAGGCAGAAATTAGGGTGTTTGGTTGCTGGGAAAATAGAGAGAAAATGGACAATTAGAGAGAGAAAATGCAGGGTTGACGGGTGAGGGGGAAAGAGAATTTGAAAGGGTATATATAGTAGTGACAACATAAGGTGATTAGGACTTTTGCCTTTTTAAAAAAAAAAAATTTAAATCGATTTTTCGTTTTTAGAATAAAATAAAATTTCCCGGAGATAAAGACAGGCGCGTGTAAATCGGAGGAGGCTTAAAGTTTTCACTTGACGAGTCATTCACGGGACGTACTTTTTTCTCTTTTTATATGCTGATATAAAAATAAAATAAATAAGGGATATTTCTTCTTCTTTTTTTTGTCAAATTAACTAAATTTAAGAGATGGTTTGGAGTCCGCTCTGGGCCCACTGAGTTAGGCGGGGACAAATAACAATTATATGTGGTGTGCTTAACACGTCTCAAGTCTTAAGTCTCGGCTGCCGGTTTTGCTTCGCTGGATTTTTAAATTTTGACATGTTCTTTTGTGGACCAAATCTAGGGAACTTGTTCAGTTGGGTTCCCATCTCTCGAGGTTTTTAAGTGGATGGAATTTCTCACTCTAAATTTATCAGCTTCCTTTTTAATTCTTTTGGTTTTTTTTAAGAAATATTTTAAAGATATATATTAAACATATATTTTTTTATAAATTTATAAAAAAAAAATCAATATTAATTTACATATTTTATGTATTCGTTCTCTCCACATGATAGTCTGTTGTAGAATTTTAAAGTTTTTGAGTACTTAACAAAAGTATTTGTAATTTACTTTTTCGTATGTTTTAAAATAATTATAGTCTTTTTAAATTTTTAATTAAAGATTTAAAAATAATTTAT